CCCAGCACTTTGGGAGGCCGAGGTGGGTGGATCACGAGGTCAGGAGATCGAGACCATCCTGGCTAACATGGTGAAACCCCGTCTCTACTAAAAATACAGAAAATTAGCCAGGCGTGGTGGTGAGCACCTGTAGTCCCAGTTACTTGGGAGGCTGAGGCAGGAGAATGGTGTGAACCCAGAAAGCAGAGGTTGCAGTGAGCCGAGATTGCGCCACTGCACTCCAGCCCGGGGGACAGAGCGAGACTCCATCTCAAAAAAAAAAATGTACTGATTTAATTTTAATTACTTGTTTTTAGAGGCGGGATCCCTGTCATCCACACTGGAGTGCAGTGGCACCATCATAGCTCATGGCAGCCTCAACCACTGGCCTCAAGCAATCCTCCTGCCTTGGCCTCCCAGTGCTGGGATTACAGGAGTGAGCCACCATGCCTGGCCAGCAATCCACTTAAACAAATATATCCAAAATACTACCTCACCATATCATCAACAAAATATACTACTGATGAAATAGTGACATTTTACAAAGAAATTTTTTTCTCACCAAATCTTCAAAATCCAACATGAGCTTTGTCCTCACAGCAGTTTGAGAACGGAACTGGCCACGTTCCAAGGGTGGCCACAGGGAGCTCCCCAGAGTGCAGCAGCCAGGCCGGAGGCTGCACAGAGGTGCAGGATCAGAGGAGGCGCAGGCAACCCCAGAGTCCGGTCTGAGGTGGCACAGGGAGCAGGTCTCTGGTGGCCTTGACAAGATGACAGGATCCAGGGTAGGGTGGGGAGGGGACGGGACCCTGGGCACCTCAGAGAGCAGAGCAGGGGAAACAGGAGCCCCCACCTAGGGAGAGGTGGAGAGGGGGGCTCCTCTCCAGGAACCCCAATCAAGACAGGCCTCACGTGACTCCCACGTCCTCCTGGAGGGCACAGGGGCCTCTTCTGAGGTCAGTTTGGTTTCTGATTTTTTCCAGGGAAACTTTTCAGCACATTGTCCTTGGCCAGATGCCACAGGAGCCGCTGACCCAGTGACCTCACCTTGCTCTGCTCAGACTGCACTCCTATCCACGGGGCGCTGAGGCAGGAGGAGGAAAGTGCTGTAAGCTCAGTAAGCTCTTGGCCAATGGGGCCCTAGAGCCCTGCCCAGGCCCCACGAGGTGTGGCCCTGAGTCCAGGAACCCCCGCCCCTCATGTCCCCTCAACCTCTGTGGTGTTTTATAAAGCAAAGGGGCCCCGGAAGGAGGCAGGAGGAAGGAGGGGGTCACGCGTGTCAGCCCTGAGCACTGAAACTGCCCCCACAGGTCCTGGATTCCTCCCTGTATCCACGACGGCCTCCGCTTCCGTCAGTGCTCCCCGCGGTCCCCGGTCCTGGGCCTGGACGGCTGCTTGGGGGAGGCAGCAGTGGCCACGGGGTCTCTGACCTGCAGCAGGAGACACGGGGAGGCTTGGGCCTCTGAACCCACATAGAGCAGAACTGCGGCCCCAAGAAAGGGAAGGTTTCAGCAGAGGAGGCCGGTGGCAAGAGAGGTGAGGGCTTGAGGGGCCCCCTGTGGGGCCTGGAGTGTGGAGGCCCATCGGGGGCCTGGCAGGGACCCCGAACCAATAGTGAGGTCCTGCAACAGCTGGCGTAAGGTGAGGAGACTCCCAGGTCTAGTAAAGTTCACAGGGGCCTCTGACCCCCCTCCAAGAGGAAGCTGGAGTCACATGACGCTGTCCTGCCGGGGTCCTGGAGAGAAGGCTCCTTATCCCCCAGTGCGTCCGCCCGCCCTGAATGTATAACTTCACGTTCAGAAATTTGTTACCCCCTCCTCAGACCTCACACAATTCACAAATTTCCAAGCAGGAAACAAACTTCTAAGAAAGCAGAACCCCTGAGTCCAGCAGGTCAAGGAGCCGGAGAAGACCCCGCTAAGGCCTGTCAGAGACGGTACCCGGCATCCAGACGTCACTCCACAAACGGTCATGTAAGAGAGCAGGAACCACACTTCCCAAGCCTTCGTCACCACCAAAAACATCAGCTTCCCGGAAACCTGACACACGATCAAGGAGGAGCACGGTGTGAAGTCAGCCGTGACCCACATCCGCAGCGAGACCTCCGTGCCCGACCATGTCGTCTGGTCCCTGTTCAACACCCTCTTCATGAACACCTGCTGCCTGGGCTTCATAGCGTTCGCCTACTCCGTGAAGGTGCGTATGGCCCCAGGGAACGCTCAGAGGGTCCCGGTGAGCCTGGAGCTCCACCTGCCCAGAAGCTGCCTGGGGTGGGGACTCGTGTGTCCCTGTGAGTGTGAGTTTGTGTGCACCTCTGTCCCGTGTGTGCCCACGTCAGTAGCTTTGTCTGTGTAATCTGTGTGTGTGTGGCTTGGGGAATCCGCCCAGTGCAGGTCTAGGAGGAGGCTCCAGGAGGCTGGCTGGCTCAGAGTTTGTCCCCAGCGATCCACTAGCCCAGAGCAATTCTCCCTACAGCCCAATACCAGAAATTACACCCTCACCTTCCAGACTGGCACCCAGGCTCTCCCAGAAAGTGAGAAGGGAACTCACAGGCGATTTCACCCCGTGGTGGGGAGAACAGCCTGTGCCGGGGCCCAGGCAGAAGGAGGATGAGCCTGAGGCTCCTGGAGAGTCTGAGCCTGAGTGAGGAAGGGGAGGAGGTGGTCCCTGATCTCAGAGTGGGGAGGAGCCGGGGGGAGTGGGAGCCACAGCACGTGGCTCTCAGCTGAGGGATCCTGGTCCCCCACTGTCTCCTCCCACAGTCTAGGGACAGGAAAATGGTTGGCGACCTGACTGGAGCCCAGGCCTGTGCCTCCACCGCCAAGTGCCTGAACATCTGGGCCCTGACTGTGGGTATCCTTGTGACGACTGCACTCACCATCCTTTCACCAGTAGTTCTGTGATAATATTCCAAGCAATTTCTCAGATGACAAAGAATCTCCAAGGCCAGTAGTAGCACCTAGGTACTCACCATCCACTGCTGGTCCTGCCCCCGGAGCCGCATCCTGTGTCAGCCCATTATCCTCACACACTTTTCCACAGTGGCATTCAGTAAAGTGCAGGTGTTTCTGGTGCTGTGGAAGGCAGGATACAGTGTCAGGAAAAAAGGCTCAAATCTGCCTGAAAGTGTCCAGTGTTTAAGCTTCTATATAAGCCAAGAGGAAAGATGGCTTAGCAGTGAACGGAGAGCAGTGAACAGAAAGCAGCTGTTTGTTCCCTTCCTCCTCCAACCACCCGGCGTCAGAGATAAGAGGGTTCCTAGAGGCAGCAAAGTTCTGCTGCGTTTGAATCCCAAATTTCTTGCTCACGCCTAAGCCATTATATGAAGCCACAAAGAAGAGGAAAGAAGGAGACGCTCCTCTAGGAGGCTGACCAGGAGAAGGCTTTCTTTTTTCTTTTTTTTTTTTTTTTTTTGAGATGGAGTCTCGCTCTGTCGCCCAGGCTGGAATGCAGTGGCAGGATCTCGGCTCACTGCAAGCTCCGCCTCCCGGGTTCACCCCATTCTCCTGCCTCAGCCTCCCGAGTAGCTGGAACTACAGGCGCCCGCCACCACGCCCGGCTAGTTTTTTGTATTTTTTAGTAGAGACGGGGTTTCACCGTGTTAGCCAGGATGGTCTCGATCTCCTGACC